TACTATTGTATTGTATGAGAGGGACAGTATGTTATCAGCTGTGCTGAATTGCTCCACTTTTTCCTCGCCCCTCGCCATGCTCATTAAAGCGTGACCACCGGGCATGCGCGGGCAAATCTGTTTCCTCTCCCTTCAGACTCATTAACGATGGCCGTCGGCGGTCCATTGCTGTATAATTTAATGGTGAAACGCTGTTGCGGAATACTTTTGTCCCAGTTGCATACTTTCTTTACTTCCTTTGAATTCGAGGCTAACGTCTGATCATTGACCCTGTTCTGTCTGGTTCTCAACAAAGTTAATAAAAGCCCTGACTAGATAGCGGATCCGGCAGTGGATGTTTCCCTCCGGAAAGAAGCAGAGTCCGGATAGGAGCGTATGATATGCATACTTGTTAAAGTCCAATAAACACTTGAATATACAAATATTGGTGTTTCATTGCTTACTAATACGATTACCTAAGTACTAAACGTACTTGGTCTGAGACGCATCCGGTAAAAAGGAAGCGAACTAATTTAATTCCGTTGACACTGATAAGATTATCCTCATAAAGGTTGGCGACACCCAGGGTTTTAGCCTGTGAGCCGCAAAATCAATAAGTGTACGACAACAAGTATAATATAACAGTGCACTACAACTTTGAAACATCATGTTGGCTGCATAGCCTAGTTGTTTTGGTGGTGTGCTCTGGATTCATGGAGCCCTGGTTTGCATCCCCAAGAGGGTCTGACAGTTTTCCTTATTTTATCCCAGGAATTTCTGTGTCTGCCCATGTCTGCTATCTTTGTGTGTTTGTGTGCGCCTGTGCAGTCTGTCCCACTGGTGTATGTGTATATGCATATATGATTATGTAAAAAAAAAGCAAAATTAATTAGCCAAAAGCCAACCAAATTCAGTGTTAAAATAATACCAACAACCAAAGTTCTACCCTACACACCTTGATTTTGTAGTTCTGACAGAACAGAAGCCCAAAAACCAAAATGGACAATTCCCAGGCCTTCAACAGTCCAAGCCAAAATTTGAATTACCACCACAGGGACCTCTGCTTGAACAATAGCCTCATCCAGATATTCAGCAGATATATTCATTTTAGTGATGTTAGCCAGAGTGTTGAGAATATGCCCAAAGTTTGTTTTAGTCTCTACAGAAGGACTTGTTGGGTTAGGCAAGAAAAAGTAACCCTGCAAGAACTGGGATCACTGAGGACCACAACTGCGCAGGATCAACAGGAACAAGGGAAGCAATCAAAACAACAAGAGGAATAGATGCCGAGTTGGCTTTGCCATGAAAGACAAATCTGCCTGTGACACACTGGCACAGGCTCAGGAAAAGTGAGCTCTGTCACCAGGAGGAAGGTCAAAGATGAGGTCATGGTTGGCGCTGGTGTTGATGCTGGTGCTGATGCTGTTGTCATCACCACTGCAGTCAATGTCTTTGCTGTAATTGTCATTATTGGCCTGTTTCTTCTTCATGTCTCTAGGGGTACTGATGCAGAAATGGATGGCACCATTGTAATACTTGCTGTGGGAAAGACCAAGGCTTGAGTGGTTTTCTGTTCCACCTTATTTTCTACCATCTTTTCTGTAAAATACAAAAACATTGGATAAGATGCTAATTTTTCAGTTTTTTCAGAACTTACTTTGGTAGGTGAAAAAGCAGACCTCTCAAGGTTCCACCACTGTTTCCATTCCTTTGGGATTTCCCTGACAGAATGTCTGTTTCTGCAGTTTCACTTTCGGAAATATTTCAGAATGATATAGTAACATACAGTCTTTCATTCCAGGAATTCTAAAAAGAAAAGGAAAACTCACCTTCAAGTGCTTGCACCAAATTCATTCCAGATGAAGCCTCACACCAACAAAGTCAGCCTCAAAGTTGATCTTGTGGGCCTGCCTGACTTCAAAGATGTTGCTGTAAGTCAGCCTCTGAGCCACATCTGAGCAGGGACTCACTACACTGCTGATCACTAACACCTGCAAAATGTCATCAAAAAACTGTGGAGTGTTTGAAAAATCAAAAGATTTTTGGGGTTTGAACTTACCAAAATGGAAAGAGAGGTTGCTCTCAACCAAAAGCCCATTTTTTTTGTTGGTTGATAGCCACTAAACAGCCCCTACTTTTCGCCAAATTGTTTCTATTATTCTTTTACAAATACCATTGTCCACATACAAGATTTTGTCCATAGTTTGCTCAATGTTGTATGCCCTGCATTGATCTTTTCCATGTCGTTTAAACTTTTTCTGGTCCCAAATCCTAGCCAAAACTAAAAAAATAACTAACGGGTGTCACAGAAAATTGTTAGCAACCTTTCACTGATGAAAAGACCCATCAAAGGACTCATAATATGAATATGTAGAATCTTCCAAAAAATACCAGCAATTGACCAAAAATCCTCTGAGCATGTCTCAGGAAAAGGAAGAAACAAGATTCCATACCTGTTTCTTCCCAGAGTGTGACTGTTTGCCACATTCCAGTTCTCACTTAACTAAATGTACTGCAGCACCAATTCAAGATTGGGTGCCACATAAATGTACTCTGGCCAAAATGACCATAAAAAATCTTGAACAGAAATGCAATTTTGAGTGTGTCATATGGGAATTGATGCCCAGGCATATCAAAATTAATGAATAACATTGATGTGTACTGTTGGAGTTCTTGCATGTAGTCATTTGGCAAAATACAGTAACACTCTTTTGGATTTGCTCTTTTGACTGGCACTTTGACAAGATGGAACTTTTCTTTCAATTTGTTGGGAGAGAGTTTGTCATCTGTAATTATTGGGTGTCCCAAAACTTGTTAACAATACTTATTGGACTCTGCTGTATTTTCTACATAATGTTCCAAAACATCATGCTGAATCCCACCTAGTAACTTGCTGCACAGTAGCAGACAAGGTCATTGCCCATATGAATCATGCTGTATGGTTTACGGTAATTGCTCTTCCCCCTTTTGTGTGTCATTGTTCTTGGTTGCGCAGCCATGTCTGATCTTCCAAATATATAAAGCTTCATTTGCGTATTTGTACAAATATTCAGTGTTGGTCTGATTACTGTTGGTTGAACTTGTATAGAAATATATCAGAGTATATTCACACTCTAAACAAGAAGTTGTATGCACTGTAATCAACCCCAGCCATATGAGCAGATCTTCTTGTACGTAATGGTGTTCTGGAGGTAAGCTTAGAAAGAGTAATTGGAATTTGCAAAAGACATTTTTGCAATAACTAAAATTTTTTTTTATTCAAACCTTGAAAATTGGGACAAAAATCTTCAAAAATATTAGACCCCAGAAAAGCTGGGAGGAAATCATCCCCATTTCTATCAAGCATCAAATTCCTTCTCATATACAAGGCAGTCTGGTTTTCATTGCCTACAATGCACAGAACAATGAAAACAGTAGAAATGTGGGTGTCTGTAAAAAAAAATTCAAGGACACAGTATCAAAGATGTGATGTTGGGCTATGCATGCTGTGTAAACACACAGCATGCATAGCCCAACATCACATCTGAATGAAAACAGTAGAAATGTGGGTGTCTGTAAAAAAAAATTCAAGGACACAGTATCAAAGATGTGATGTTGGGCTATGCATGCTGTGTAAACACACAGCATGGTGAACTGTAAAAAAAAAAAAAAACGTCTGTAAAAAAAAATTCAAGGACACAGTATCAAAGATGTGATGTTGGGCTATGCATGCTGTGTAAACACACAGCATGCATAGCCCAACATCACATCTTTGATACTGTGTCCTTGAATTTTTTTTTACAGACACCCACATTTCTACTGTTTTCATTGTTCTGTGCATTGTAGGCAATGAAAACCAGACTGCCTTGTATATGAGAAGGAATTTGATGCTTGATAGAAATGGGGATGATTTCCTCCCAGCTTTTCTGGGGTCTAATATTTTTGAAGATTTTTGTCCCAATTTTCAAGGTTTGAATAAAAAAAAATTTTAGTTATTGCAAAAATGTCTTTTGCAAATTCCAATTACTCTTTCTAAGCTTACCTCCAGAACACCATTACGTACAAGAAGATCTGCTCATATGGCTGGGGTTGATTACAGTGCATACAACATAATGAGAAGTGGCATAAAAATTAGATGCTATGTGCCATGAGCCCCATTTGGGGATCTGATGTAAAACTTTCCTTAGTGAAAGATATGTTTTCCCAAAATTTGAAATTCTTTTTTTCCCTACCTACAGTGATATAGAATTATAGATGAATTGAAATAAATTTTTTAAAAATTGGTAAAAACTGGCAGTTATTGGGTTGATCAGGTAAATGAATTAATACAAAAAGTCTTTCCAAGAGAAATAAATCTTTACTTGTATCACAAATATATCAAAGTATATAGGCAACACAAATAGCACAAGACACAAAGATCTGATTACAATTGATGTAACTAGGTCAAGGCCTAATGCTATAATGCCTGTCCTTCAGGGAATGGGATGGGGGTTGATCTACCAGGAAATATGGGGGCCCTAAACCCAGAGGGGAGGTTACTTGAGTGCATGTGTGCAAGTGAAATAATGGGGTACAAGCACAATGGGTTCTGCACAGTTGGGGTACAGGTGCACTCTTAGGGTACATGTGCAGTGAGTACAGGTGTACTTGCAGTGTCACACATGCCTTGGGTGCATGTGTATTGACAATGGGGATGGAAGAATAATGATTATTATTTTTTATGATAATCCTCATCTCTTCTTATGGGTATTTCTCTAAATTTCTGTGCAAAGAGATTTCTCCTCAGAATACTCTTTAACAAATATATTTTGTAGCCCAGTGTCTATATCCGGAAATTATATGATTAATGTCCACCCATAACAGTGGCCTAACTCGAATATAACTCCACTAATGGGATCAGAAGAATACCAAGATTATCAACACTGTTCCTATCTGCTGCTGCTAGATGAATCTCGATACTGTATGAACTGTGTATGACAGCACCATACTGTATCATCCTATTCTTGTATACCATGTGAATAAATAAGAAGAAAAATTCGTCATTCATTGCAAAGCAAACCTTCCACTGGGTTTTTATTGATTGTCTGGCATGAAAGCGCACAATCCCATTTCACCAACTGCCATTAGCCATAAAACAACGCCCACCTTAAGATCATCCTTGGCCAGCACAGAAGCAACGAATATCCCTTCCTCGGCATCATCATCATTAAACGGAAACATTCCAAAAACGAACAGAAAACTCTCTTGCTCTAAAAAAAAAAGCGGATTTGACCTGCAAGAAAGATATAGATAAGTCCTCAATGTTCCTTCACTCGGATGAGGCCTTCCGGAACGAACTCATGTAGTAAAACCCGCCTGAATGCACAATCGGGAGGAATGAGGATGAGAAATGACATTCTCCGCATTAAATTGAATTGTCACACACATGATGCATCTGCGATATCGCGAGGAATACTGCGCCGTTCAACCAACTACTGTACTGTACTTCCAAATAATTACCACCCATCAGGAAGAAGAACCTACACATCCCAGACAAGTGCTCGCTCAAAATTAAGAAAACATCCCCTGAGCAGCATATTTCGGGATAGTGCTGAGCACTGTTTGATTGTAAGCTTCTCAAAAAGGGAAGTAAACCACACTTCTCCGTTTAGTCTCATGCTGGGGTCTTTCACACAGCTCAATAATCGTGGCGGAAAAATGCAAATCCCGGCCGGATGCTGCCGAGTCTTAGGGCAGGAAGTCCTTGTCTGGTTCGTTCGTCCTGATACCGAAGCAGGGTTCCTTCGTGGTCCACGTTTGAGAAGAACAAGGATCGGCTGCTCCTCAGGTTGTTGTAGTTGATGGGACGGCTAGTGGACTTGTTATTGGTGCTGCTGGGGCCGGGGTTGAGGAACTCTGCAGAAGGTGGGATGAAGTGTTTTCTCGCTCCAGCTGGAATGGCTTGTCCCAGAGATCCCGGCCCGAGGAAGTCGCTGGAATCTTTGGAAAAAATCAAATCATTATCATCAATGATTTCTCAAATCTTCCCGCCAAAAATAAAGAAGGATCAGCTACATAGTCGAACCTCATTAACCTGATGAATTTCTCTCAGTCAAATACTGTAGCTCATTGTATATGCCGTTTTGTTTTCCAAACTCCCTGTCTGAATCCTTCAAAAACTATTAATTAAAAACCTCGTTTACTGCTAGAAGGTTCTTCCTCTCAAACCTTGCTTCCTGAGTTCTTTTAGGGGTTGGCTATCATTCTATCCTTGCCTTGGCATAGAAAAGAGAGAATTAATATACAAATGTAACTTGATGTGTCTTGAAAGGAAATAAAAGACTATCCATTGGAATGAACCCTTATTTCTCCAATTTCAGCATACTGTTGACTCATTTCGGAAGCAATCCAAGGCCCAGAACATCAGCAATTATAATTCCATGTAATTCAAATTCCTCTCTCTGAACAAAAGTGTTTGTTTTTCCAAGTTGAAACCTCCTTAACTCGAAATGTTCCGCTGGCCACTTGAAATTCGGCTGGAATAGGTTTGGTTGTGTTAGAAAGGCTGGATTATAAATGAATTTTGTAATAAATTCACTATGCAGTGAGACCCCAACATGCGGACAACCCAATATATGGACAATTTGACCTAGGGATACAGCAGTACTTGAAAGCCAAAAAAATCAGGCCTGACATAGGCTTGAGTTATGGACACTCTTCTGAAATTTTCCAAAAAAATTAAGCTCTTTTATTTTGATATCTTCTGAAGATATTAGATATTTATCTTCACAAAAATTGAAAAATGTTTCATGATAAGTTCACTCTAATCCATGATCAAAAGCAAGCTGATTTTGTCCTTATTTTTCCAGTTTTTTCCTATGATATGTGCATTTTCTAGCAAGACTTATTCTTTTTCTTTGTTGATCGCCTTTTGATGCCAAAAGTTCAGATTCCATGTGCTATTTCTGAATTGTTGCTTTCTGCAACTTGGAGTTGAGGGGAAATATTCTCATTAAATTTTCACGGACTTATTTCTAATTTTTGACAAAATGGAGAACCAATTAGCATTAAAGTCTAAGGGAAAACGAGACATGCCTTAGGGACTTTCCAACATTATGTGCGCTTTTCTTGTGCACATTTATTGTCTGTGAATATTGAAATATTTGTAATTGATTTTTTGGGGACTCCATTCCTAATTTTTCGTGAACAGGAAAACGAATCGAATATGTTTTCATTGAGGTACATGGGTAAATGTGATCATGCAGACATGTAGACATTCCTACATAGGGACAAGGTTCAACCACCACCATCTTAATCTTGCACTTTTAAAATTTGTTTTTTGTTATATATTGCTGTCTTATATGACGTGTAACGGTCAACAGTGGGTCACCACAATCAAGTCCGTACTTCTGCTGCAAACAATGTCCCAAAATTGTTTCCCGATTCTACACCGGCCTTTCAAATTCTATACGTTCAGACATGTGAGGTACTATCGTCATTGTACTTCATACAGCAGCAGCAACGCAATGATGCACACACCTCTTCCATTGAAGGTCGGAAAAGGGGATTGACCACGGAAGGAGTTGGGTCTGAAGGCCAGCGCTGAGATGCCCGACGAGGGTTTGGTCGACGGGGATCCGTGAATTGAGCGACGTTGCAGGTGGTTGTGACTGCCTGCATTAGTCCCTCGGTTATCATCGTAACTTGTGGGTCTGATCGAGTACAGTGCTAGTCCACCTCGGGACTTACTATTGCGGATGGTGGCCGGCGTTGCGTCGCACGCCAAGAAACTCAGGGCAGCTAAAACCAGCGTCGCAGTCGACCAGCACTTTCTGCCTCGTGTCGTCGTATTCTGCAATGCGGAAGAAAGGCGGGTTCTCTTCATTGAATGACAAATAGAGTCAGGTACTGTACTGTACAGTAAGACCTACATGCAGATAGGAAAAATTTGACTCAGGGACACTTGAAACTTGAAAATATCTGAGTCAACATCTGGATATAATGGCTCAAGAGAGGGAAGCTTTGTGGACATTTTTCTGGAAAATCAAAATTATTTACATACGCATGTCTCTTGAAAAACTTTTCATAATTGAAAATATCAAAATACCGTTAATTGAAAATATACTCTATTTCCCGATTGAAAACAGGCTGATTTTCTGCTTCTTTTTCAGTTTTTTCTATCATCTGAAAAGTATAGCAAGACTTGTTCGTTATTTCTTCTTCAGCTCCTTCCGATGCCAGAAGAATCAGATTCTACGCGGTTTTCTTCTGTAGAGTTCTATTCGGTATCTTGCAATTGAGGGAGAATATTTCTTTCAATTTTTGGGGACATTAGTTCAAATTTTCCGAAGAAGAGGAGAAAGATTCAAAAACTGTCTGTTTGCATTGCATTATTACATGCTAATGCTGGTGCCCCAGTTCACACTATATTATACAATGAGCAGCAAGATGAGGTCATGATTGGTATACTTGGATCTTGTCTCTACGTTGCAGTGTCTGCACGTCAGGTAACTTTTTCTTGACTTGAATGAGAATATATTCAAGTGATTCTAAAGCTCATCAAAAATTCAGGCATAAAGTTCCAAAAAATTGAATAAATTATTTTCCCAACTACGTTGCAGTGTCTGCACGTCAGGTAACTTTTTCTTGACTTGAATGAGAATATATTCAAGTGATTCTAAAGCTCATCAAAAATTCAGGCATAAAGTTCCAAAAAATTGAATAAATTTTTTTCCCAACTTTATTGAAAGTGCAGAAAATGCCAATGCCAGAGAAAACTAAACAGAATCTGATGTTTCACCTCAGAAGGGACTCAGCATGAAAAAAAATGAGTCTTGCTAGTTGCTATACTCTGCATAGATGTTAATTGGAAGAACTCTGAAAAAAGAAGCCCAGATTTGGCCTGTTTTTGATTGGAGTGCAGAATTTTTATAATTACATTTTTTATTGCTCACTTTAAATATGAGAAACCTTTTACGATTTCAAACTTTAGAAATGATTATTAAAATTTTGTACAAATGTTCAAAAGATTTCCATTTTTCAAGACATTCAGAAATAGGGAGATTTTTTTTTTTTAATGGGTCTCTGAGTCGAATCATATCTGTATGTCGGGATCACTCCTCGGTGCTGTAAAGCAAACTCAAAAGGAAAAAGGCTCGCTCATCAAACCAGTGTCATTCACGTCAGATTCCATGTTACTTATCGACACAGAGGAATGGATGCGCATTTTAAAAATATTCTCAGATACATTTGTACTTGGCATATATTTGATTCCGAAGGTCGAACAGGTTTATGGTGTGGGCAGTCTTAGTTCTACGCGTCTTGCATGATTTACTGATGACAAACGTCAGCCAGCGCTTATCGCTCACAGAATAATACAGCTTCCCTCACAAATGAAAAGAGTTGAAGACCTTTTAATCGGTTTGAGGAGGGAAAATAAATCTTTTTCTAGGCAGAAGACTGGCACTCAAGAAATGGCACAATGATGCAGTTATGGATCCGTAAGAGCCAAAAGATCGGTGAGTCCGATAAACTCATTGTCATCTGCTCTTTGTTGCACCGAAAACATAATCCAGCTCACGATTTTATACCGTATTTTGAAGATAGTGATATTCACATATTTTTCGACTGCCTATTTTATCATTTCCTAAATGGCTGACGATAATACATGAAGCCCCAGCTCGATATTTATTGAACAGGGCACATTCCTATACTTCACTAACTAAAATTTATCATGGATACGCAGCGTGAACAGCTCGATACGAAGAACGAACGAACGAAGGTATAACCTGGCAAAATGCCAAATGACAACGACGCAGGAAATTTCGCCACCGTCCAAGTTCGCCAGCAAAACTCCTCATATTCTCGACAAATTTATCGCCTCTTAAGTCACTACGTTCGACCAATGCTTACAAAAACTTCGGATTCAGTTATATGAATTTGTATTCCATGGAAGTCCTGAAATTCTTTTCATTTTTTCGGGAAATACCGAAACAAACACGATTTGGCAATTCAGAAAATACGCAAATGCAGTACTCTATTTACAAATAATCCAAAGACATGATTTCGCACCTCATCGCTTTGTAAAACACAAGCCTCGCACGTGACGCTCGAATTCGTGAAAATTGTATCAAACAGCGGCGGTCAAACCTTGTCACAGATAAAATTAACAGTGATGAAAATATTGTACATTTATACGGATGAAAAATTGCATTCATTAATCTAGTAGATGTTTAAGAGTTTGTTCCAAGTCAACGTGAAATTGAAAGCATCGACTTGACATTCTAAGTGACGGACACAGAAACATTTATCTGAAGGGTTGAAAGTCCAAGAAAATGCTTGAGAGGCTGTAAGCGCTTCGAGTCTTGAAAATTCTGGAATCGTTGGTATTTACCGTTAGTTTGCTTCATACCATGAAGCATCCAAATAAGTTCTTGAGACGGTCATATATGAAATTCATGAATGAGATCATCAACTGTACTACTGTATAGTTAAATTCCTTTCCAAATGCAATGGTTCGATGATATGAACTTCGACCTGTCCGTCAATTTATTCTCAAATGGAATCATTCAAATAGCATAAGAAATGGCAAGGTCATGATCATTCATGCAGTCAAATAACAATCCCCAATACCATGAATCAGACTCATCATCATCAGATAAGAGAATATAGCAATGATCAAAACGAGATGGCCGAGTCTTTTCTTCTCTTAAACGGGCGGTCTAACAAAAGTCTTCGGAATGAGTATTGCAATGCTTCAGTGGAGAAAATATTATTATAAAAAAAAACATTCTTCAGCACTGGAAAAAAATCAGCCCTGTTCAACATATTTTGCATAAATATTTAAAAAAAAATTACCCTGGCAACTTTCTGCTCGTAACCAAAAATACCTGGCACTCATCTGGCAGATTTTTATGGTTAAGCCCAGTTTTTCCTTCAGAATTCTTGAAATTACCGCGGCACAAATTCAAAAGGTTGCCACCAGCTCTTCCAAGGTCATTGTGCAATTTTCGCAGTCCACGTAGTAGCTTTTGTTCTGTTGATATCACAGGTGGAATAGCTCCAGGCAACTTTAAGTCCATGACGTGTTGCTTTTAGGAATTCTGAAGGAGAAGCTGGGATACGCAAAAAATCTGCTGAATAAGTGCCGCACCTTTTCAGAAAAGAAAACAATTCGTCAGATAGCTGACCTTTGTAACAATTTTCTACATAATAAAATACATTGAAGTAATGGGTTTTCCATGTTGGGAAGTTTGAAGCTGGTAAAAATGAAACTGATTCCATTAATTTGACACGCACAGAACCATTTTTCTAAAAAGGTTGCAATCTGGAAAAAAATCCAAAAATGTTTCTTGTGCCAAAAAAAAGTTTTTCTAAATCCTTAATTGTACAGTTCAACCATATGCTTATTCAACTGCTATCCTGAGAACATGTGCTAGACCCCTGGCGTGTATATGGATTATGATGACCTATCACATGTTAGAGTGATAAATTCATTGGTGCATTATGCTTTCTGAAGACACTGTTTCCACAAGAAGCTTGTGCGTCAGTGAGCTAAGAATCCGGGGTGAAGGTTTTCCAGATTCTCATTACCAGAGAAAAAGTTAGAATTGAAAAGTGGGAATATTTCGAGATTCCTTTGAGGGATCAATTTTTATATAATAAGAGAATAGTCAAAGAGCATCTTCAGCTTCAATTCAAGACATTCATAATTTTCTAGGTCTAACATTTGTGGAGTTATACGCAGTGGTATTTTGCATGTTGGGATTGCGCAATACAGGAATCATTTTCGTTCGGGGATTTTATTTATTTAGGAAGCATGTTTTTTATTTTACAATACAATATTTTACTTGCTGATTGTGTGTGTGATAGCGTCTTGATGTCTGCTATGTGAGCAAATAATAGCCCTCTTATAAAATCGAAGGAATGACAATACTTCAGCTTTTTATCCTTGCAACCATTAATGTAGATACTGTATTTTACTCTAAATTAAAATATTTGGAGGTTCAGTAATTTCCTCAACACTCCCATGCCTCTCGCATCTGGATGTGCTCTTTTAAGTAAATTAAATAAATTCAGAAAGCTTCTCAATTTGCGGGTATTTCAGCCGCAGCAGGGTCTGAAATCATTGTCACCGGAGTTTTTTTTTTCTCCGAAGTTCACTTTTCACAAATTAACCTGATGACGCGTAACGAAGAAATAATACCTCTACGGATTCGATAAAAACCGGAACTTGAAAAAGATTCTTCAGAAACCTATTGAATAGCAAGGCCAAACATTGCAACACTTTATTCTTCCTCATTATGACTGTTGCGGTGGGAAAAGGGAAAACAGACGAGACGTCTGTGCCGGCATTCACGGAAAGGTCGTCCGCAGAACGGCCGTCAATCAAGCATTCAATGAACTGTACAAAAAAACATGCGCAAGAAAGAGCTTTTCTATTAAATTTTGATTGCTTCGGGAGGAAATAAACCAATAGCATTTCCCGACCAAAGTATTCGAAAGACAAGTTAACTGCATATACTGTACATCTATAACTTTCAATCCTTTCCGCTTTTTCCGCGTCACACTTAAAACTGTGATGACCAGTGTGAGAAATGCCCTTAAAATAATAAAAAATAAAAATCGACCCGACATCCAAGAACCGCGTGTAACCCACTCGAAAAATCGTTCCTACTTTCTAATACATTCTGAACGATGTAGAATTTCAGTACAGTATATATCGCAGCAGAAAAGTAGGCAAACGACGAACGATTTTATTGCTGATGGCTTGCACGCACACCAACATCGGAAAAGGGTACTGTTTTTATCAACAGGGTACGGAAATGGAAACCGTTAGAATGGTTTCGAAATCGATATTTTCTCCATCAAAAAAACGCTTCCCTT